ATTTACTTCTTGGTTGTTGGCCCAGCATTATCTTCATGTAAATCTCTGCTTATCTGGGTTTTGATTGCTGTGAGGAGGTGTTTTCATTTTTCTGTTTCCTTTTTGGCTTTCTGATGGCCTCTTTTGAATGGTATGTGTGTGATGCTTATCTCTATGTGCCTGTTGATTGCTGATTTGTCTGAGTGCCAAGCTTCCAGAAATTTTCTTGTGCTTTTGGACTTGATTTGGTCTAGGATGCTAACACTTTCCCAACTTTGTTTTAAGTCTGAACATGTGTTGTGAAATTAAGGAATCTTAATCATGCAGGATCCAATCCAATTTTCATCATGTCTTCTGACTGCTAGCTGCTGTTCACAGATATGCTCTGCTAATCTTTGTCTGTTTGTTCTTTATAATGGTTGTTACACTCTTTTCACTTTATGTTGTAGATGACTCCTGTTTCTTCTTCTTCTGAGGCTGCTGGTTCTTTTCATTCACTTAGGATGTTTTGGAGGGCTTTAGTTGGCTTGTATGTTACAAACTTAAATGTAGCACATGGGAGGTATTGAGAGCCGGTTCTAGTGGTGGTAAATTCTTCTTTGAATGAGAATGTTCTTTTATCCAGTAGGGAACCTCCCTTTTTTATTGAAGTTGATTGAGAAGGAGGTTGTTCAACAGTATCAGAGGGCCCTGGGGGCGAGTCGTTGGCCCCCACGGATGGGTTTCGCAACTTGGGCGTCCTCCTGGACTCACGGCTGTCTTTAGAAGAGCATATGACGGCCGTGGCCGGGAGGACTTTTTATCAGGTTCACCTGATTCGCCAGTTGCGTCCCTTTCTGGATCGGGACTCGTTACGCACGGTCACTCACGCCCTTGTCACCTCACGCCTGGACTACTGCAATGCTCTCTACATGGGGCTCCCCTTGAGGAGCACCCGGAGGCTCAACTGGTCCAGAATGCGGCCGCGCGGGTGGTGATGGGAGTGACAAGACGCTCCCATGTGACCCCCCCTCCTGCACGAACTGCACTGGCTCCCAGTGGTCTTCCAGGTGTGCTTCAAGGTTTTGGTTACCACCTTTAGAGCGCTCCATGGCTCAGGACCAGGGTACTTATGAGACCGCCTTCTGCCACCAGTAACCTCTCACCGACCAGTTCGTTCCCATAGAGAGGGGCTCCTCAGGGTGCTGTCGGCCAAACAATGTCGACTGGCGGCCCCCAGGGGAGAGCCTTCTCTATGGGGGCAGCTGCCATCTGGAACGAGCTCCCCCCGGAGATATGGAGGATCCAAGATTTACGCACTTTCCGCCGCGCCCTAAAATGTTTTTATTCCAACAGGCTGGTCTGGCCTAACTCTCCCTTTTAAATTGGATTTTAAATGTTTTATATAAATTGGATGTTTTAAATTTGTTTCTGAGCCCATATTATTTAATCTATTTTTTAATAGCTTTTAACTTTTGTATGTTATCTGTATTTTTATCTTGGCTGTTCACTGCCCTGAGTCTCCTGGGAGTAGGGCGGTATATAAATATGATAAAATAATAATAATAATAAAGCAGATTATCTAGATCCATTTCAATCAGGATTCAGTCCTGGGTATGGGATGGAAATGACATTGGTCACACTTTGGAATGATCTCTGCCATGAGTGGAATGGAGGTTGTGCACCCATCCTTGCCCTACTTGACCTCTTGCCACCGCAATACCATCAACACTGATATCCTTCTGGATCAACTCAGAAGACTGGTGTATGTTGTGACCCAGGCCCAAGTAAGTAGGAGGAAAATCAGTCAGTGAAAAAACAAATAAACTTTATTCGAACATCTGAGGATTACTTTATTCCCAGCGTCATTCAACTAAATTAAAGCAAATTCCTCCCAACACAAATTCCTCAGTCCTATCTCAAACCTTGGTCCAATTAGGCAAACTGCCAAAGGCCTTTCTTGACAAATGTTCAGAAGTCACAGATACAAAAATAAATACAAGATATAGACTAAGAAGAAGACAAAGCTACCAACATTGTTTTCCGGCAAAGCCCAAATGCCATTGCTGGTCTGTTTTAAGCCTTATGGGAGGGGCCAATCATCTCTTGGCCCTACTCCCGAGTTGTCCTCTTTGCTTGAGCTGCTCTTGCCTTCTGGCAGCCCTTCTCACACGTGCATTAGGAACAGGCTCCTCCTGTTCCTCTGCCTCACTCCTATCAGTCTCTGGAGGCTCCGGAGTCCGCACCTCACTCCCCAATGGCCCTGGCCCCATCTTTGCCTCTGACGCAGAACCCTCATCTGGGCCTTCCCCAGCCTCCAGGACTGGCCCATGTTCTTCCTCAGCCTCATCACTGTCTGACTCCACTGCCAGCTCCGCAGGCTTCTGGCAGACCACACCAGTGTTGTGCCATTTGCCTCCCTTCCTAAGAGTCAATTCCAGTTAATAGTGATTTTTTTTGGTGGGGAAGAGATCTTGCCCTCATCCCCTACTATGTGAGGTGCTGTAAGGTCAGTCTCTCTTAGCTCCTATTTAATATCTACATGAAGCTTCTGGGTGAGCTCCATTAAGAGCTGAGGTGGTGCAGTGGTTAGAGTGCAGTACTGCATGCTACTTCTAGTGACTGCTGGCTGCCAGTAATTCGGCAGTTCGAATCTCACCAGGCTGAAGGTTGACTGTTTGTTTGTTTGTTTGTTTGTTTGTTTGTTATTTATTTATTTATTTATTTGTCAAGTATGTATTAGGTAATATATATAAGTATAAGCATGAATTGAATACATAAAATGAATACAATTAAAGGGAACATTAGACTTAGCCTTCCATCCTTCCAAGGTCAGTAAAATGAGGATCCATATTGTTGGGGGCAATATGCTGACTCTGTGAACCACTTAGAGAGGACTGTAAAGCACTGTGAAGTGGTATATAAGTCTAATCGCTATTGCTATTACCATGGGTTGAGATATCATGAGTATGCTGATTATACCCAATTATACATCTCTGCTTCTGGCAAAGTAAGTAGTGGTGTGCATGTATAAACTGCTTGGAGGCTGTGTGAATGTGGATAAAGCCCTATATGGCAGGGGGCAGGTTATTTGAGGGACCACCTCTTCCCAATTACATCTGTCCATCCTATCAGATGCAGCAGAGGGGCCATGCTGCTGGTCCTGATGATTAGGGTGTCAGCGTTGCAACGCTGGCATAGAGAGAGCAGAGGAGAGCGAAAGATAAACTCTGAAACTTTTGCCTGCAAAATCCCTTTGAAGCTTGGTTGCCGTGGAAATCAGGGGAGGGGGCACATTCCTGAGAAATGACGAGGAAAAGAAGTCTGAAGAATGACTTGGAAGACAGCCAATGAGAAGCAGAGAGTTGGGGATCGGAAAGGGAGGGATTGGGAGGCGAAAGGTCAGTCTTGTCCACGTGGAGTCATGATCCGGTGGCTGAGCTCAATTAAAGAAAGATTTCCTTAAAGATTGGCAGTTTGGAAATTCATTTAATTTTGAGATAGCACCGCAGTCTGACATAGGGAGTTTCATGTGGCTGATCCTAGGTGGCAAACAATTTCTGCTGTGGGCTCTGCTTTATGGAACATCTTTATTTCTAAAATGAGACTGGACTTTTTGCTTTCCAGGGGCTCCTCAAGTCCTGGTTGTGTTTATAAGCCTGTGAAGGACTGGTGAAATATTGAGATAGCTCCTGGGTTATTAACACCTCCACTTCACCTAATCTGTATTTTATTCTGCGCGTTAATAGTTTTAAAGTTCAACAATATCAAAATTGATTTCTATATTTTGTGTTAACTTTGTTGCATGTCATCCAGAGTCAGTTGATGGTGAGATGAACAGCAATATAAATAAGATAAATTAATACATAAATAACAAAAGACAAATGTTTGCTTTACTAAGGTAAACCATTTATTGAAATGCATTGCTAGTTAGTTTGTTCATGCTTGCAATATTATTTCTAGTGTGCAGAAGGAAACATTTTAGTGCCGCTAGAAGATCCGATGCAGAATATTGAAGCTGCTTTTCTCTTTGGCAACTTCTTGAATGGCACAAATGTTCAACAAAGAAGATTCATCAAATGCCCATGGTCCTTCACTTCTCAGCTTCCTTCCACGGGTATCTGAAAGGACCATCAATGATGTCGAAAAGATGAGGAAAACCAAGAAAATTAATTCTCCCTCACACCTTTCTATTATGTATCAGAAGCATCCATGATGGCTTTAATCATCTAGTCAAACCTACTCTTTGAACATCCTCCAGTATATCCACTTATAGTATATAGATTTCAGTATAGTTACAATGGAGCTCACCATGCATAGAATCCAAATGAAAGCTTATTTGAGAAGGTAGTATAAAACATAATCATTTGGGGTTTTTCCCCCTATATATGCTTTTCCAAGAATCTTGTAGTCTTAAAAGGTTAATGCCACCAAGCGGTTAAATTTACCACTCCACAAATATTTTATATGTTCTGTTTATTGTAACTTCTGGAATATATCACAACTGCTCCATTAATTCTTTTCTTACCATGCTTTAGAGAAAATAATTTCTGGCATAAGCAGACTTTTAAAAATTGTTTTTGAGTAATGAGGGTACAGTGTTCTAACAGTAGAGATAGCAATAGCAATAGCATTTAGACTTATATACCGCTTCATAGTGCTTTTACAGCCATCTCTAAGCGGTTTTACAAAGTTAGCCTATTGCCCCCAACAATCTGGGTCCTCATTTTACCCTCCTCAGAAGGATGGAAGGCTGAGTCAACCTTGAGCCTGGTGAGATTTGAACTGCTGAACTGCAGCTAGCAGTCAGCTGCAGTAACCTGCAGTACTGCACTCTAACCACTGTGCCCCCTTGGCTCTTCATGGTTGAGATGCCTTCAACCATAGCCTATATGACCTAAACTTCTCCAGATTTTGGATTTCATTTTCCACTTTTCTTTGATTTGTCAGGTGAAGGCTGGAATTAAGAAACCTATATTGTTTCAAGATTCGAAGTTCTCTAGATGAATTGGGTTTACTGTTTCTAAAGCATTGAATCTCGCTTATACATCTGATTTGGTTGTGACTGAGGTTTCCAGTTCCGTTCCACGGCTTTCCTCTTCCTTAAAAACTTTCTCAAATATTAACTTGATTGTCATTCTAGATGGTCTTCTTTTGTCTCTTCCTACCAGGAAATAGATGAGTGGGTTAATGGTGCTATTTAAGGAAGAACAAATATAGGCATATTCATAGACATACGGATTATCAAACTGGGGATAATACAGTGAGAGATACTGAATAGCGTTCATTGGAAAAGCAAAAAAGAGAAAAAAGAGAAGAGTGAGCAAGATGGTGATCCAAAGTTTCCCTTGCTTATGATGAGGAGATAATGAACAGGCTTTCAATGAAAGGGCTAACGTGGAGATAGTCATTACAGGAGTGAGAATTAGGGCATTCAGGAGAAATTGGTAGAACCTTAGCATATAATATCCGGTTGTTAACAAGAGAGTGACATGTAGAGAAGAAAATAGGAAGTTGAACACCCATATTATGTTACATACAATGGCGGACATTTTCCGGGAACGGTGGATTCGATACCAAAGTGGGAAAAAAACAGCTGTGCACCTGTCAATGCTGATGGCAGTCAAGATGCATAAACCAGTACTGTACATGAACAAGAAAAGACCACGAAATAACGTCTTTAGTGGATCGCCATATTCTATATGACTAGCTTGGGCTATAAGCCAATATACATCAATGGCACTGAGACCTATGAGGACACCAAAGTCAGCAATGGAGAGATTCAAGAAGTAAGTCGAGAAATTATTCCTCTTAATGTGGAACCCAAGGAGCCAGATGGTACCTCCGTTTCCCACAAGTCCCCAGAGGCAAATGAGTAGAGTTATAGTGATCATCAAAAACACTCCTAGAGGAATTGTGCCTTGATCTTCTGGTAGACTGGTTCTATTGTAGAAGCTCTCGGTTCCATTGTGTGAGATGTTATATTCCATTCTAGCATTCAGCAAGGACAGCACTAAAATTCAGCACGGTGGCCAGTTATTAATTGGGTGTTCTGATGTATAGAAACTCCTGCTGGGAGAAAAGGTATAGGATATAATACATTTTTTTCCCCTGATATGGAGCTAAATAATTATTTCAACCTAGCCTGACATGGATTAAAAAATAAGTAAAGTAATAATTAAATCAGAAATGTATTTCTGCGTGATGACACCTCAATCTGCATTTGTCCACAAGGATCAACAAAGATAATCATCTTCATTTAACGACCCCATAATCCCTTGCAGGGTGCAGTCTAGGCAACTGAATGGAGCTAGCAGAGTGTTTGTTTGTTTTTTTTAATTTGATTTATATGCCGCCCTTCTCCGGAGACTCAGGGCAGCTTACAATGCGTTAAGCAATAGCCTTCATACTTTTGTATATTTATACAAAGTCAGCTTATTGCCCCCACAAACTGGGTCCTCATTTCACCTACCTTAGAAAGGATGGAAGGCTGAGTCAACCTTGAGCCTTGGAGAGATTCGAACCAGCAGTAAATTGCAGGCAGCTGTGTTAATAACAGGGTGCTTAAACCACTGTACTATCAAGGCTCTTAATGGCCCGATGCCCTTCCTGTCACCAATGCAGAGTTTTGTTCAGCAGATATATTCTCATTGTGCCCAGAGAGAGAGAGAAATATCTACCTCTACCTAGGATCAAACTCACAGCCTCCTGATTGTGAGGTGAGAGCTCCACCTCTAGGCTACCATAGCATTCCCTAGGGTCAACAAAGATGCCACTGATATATATTATTATGTGGTAACATAGTAGGTTTTTGGAGACAGAGGAAATGATTGGTTTAAGAATGGCCGGTATATATTTAAAGATGTATATGGCTGTGCAATTCACAAAAAAATGCAACTCTGAGCAAAAATCACATTTTCCTAACAACATCAAATCAACAACAAGACAAAAACCATAGTCAGGGAATGTCACCCTGTAAGCCCCTTCCCAGAATGAGCTCATCTAACATCCTGCCCACAATGCCATTGAGTACAGCTAGATCTTTAAACTTTTTCGATAGGCTAACAGGATTGCAACTAGTCAAATCATCTCTATGTAGTCTAACACTTGTGTTTTAGCTGGATCAGAATAATATTATTATATTATTTTGCAGTAAGAAATACAAGAAAGGTATATTTATTTAAGAATCAAATTTAGTGCTTTATAAATTAGAAGCTGAAGAAATCTGATTGGTTATAGATTGTGAAGGTAGAAACTAATGGATCAAATTCTCCAGGTCACTATTGGGTTGGTTTATCCACGTTGCTGTTGTTGTTGTTAGTTACGAAGTTGTGTCCGACCCATCGCAATCCCATGGACAACGTTCCTCCAGGCCTTCCTGTCCTCTACCATCCTCTGGAGTCCATTTAAGCTCATGCCTACTGCTTCAGTGACTCCATCCAGCCACCTCATTCTCTGTCATCCCGTTCTTCTTTTGCCCTCAATCTTTCCCAGCATTAGGCTCTTCTCCAGTGAGTCCTTCCTTCTCATTCTCATTAGGTGGCCAAAGTATTTGAAGGTTTCTCCACTATTTCATTTAAGGCTCCCAGTGGCCTTCCGAGTGCACTTCAAGGTGTTGGTTCTTACCTTTAAAGTGCTCCATGGCTTAGGACCTGGGTACCTACGAGACCACCTTCTGCAACCTATAACCTCCCACCAACCAGTATGCTCCCACAGAGTGGGCCTCCTCAGGGTGCCATCACTAAAGCAATGTCGACTGGTGGTTCCCAGGGGGAGAGCCTTCTCTGTGGGGGCACCTACCCTTTGGAACAGGCTACCCCCAGGGATAAGAATAAGAATCTTATTCTTATTATAAGAATAATAATCCCAGATCTTCGTACTTTCCGTCGGGCACTTAAGATCTTCCTCTTTCACCAAGCTGGGCTGGCATAATTAATTTTTTCTCTTTCCTTTTGTGTAAATTTTATTCTGAAGATCTTAATTCAACTTAACTGATAAGCCAGATTGACTTAATTATTATTTATTGCTTCTTTTCACGTTTTTATATATATGTTTATTTTGACTGTTCACCGCCCTGAGTCCTTCGGGAGAAGGGCGGTATAAAAAAATTAATTAATTAATTAATTAATTAATTAAATAAATAAATAAATAAATAAATAAATAAATTGTAAGCTACATTTTACAACCATGTTCTTCTCCAAGTTTGCAAGAAAACAGCTATAAGATTTTTTTTAAAAATAAATCCTGACCACAGTAGATTTGTATCTATAATCAAATAATCTATCCTTAGTGGCCAGTCAGTCATTAAATAGAAATTGAAACATAGTTCATATCAGAAAGTACAAATAAATTGAACAGGAATAACAGTAAATTATGAAACACTTTCTTTTAAAATCCAAGCAGAACAAAAGAAACATTTTATTACAGTCAGTGGAATAAAAATGTATATAATATGAAGTTAGAAATGTATAATAGTAAAGAGATAACTAAAATGTATAGGGGAAAAAGGAAAAAAAGAGGGGAAAAAAGAAAAGGAGGAGTAATAGATTAAGATAAAGGGGAAGAAGAAATAAAGTAATAACTGGAAGACCACTATGAAACAATGCTTAAATATGATAAGTTATTTATATGTTGTGTAAATATCCACAACGCTTTGGACCGAGTCGTGCTTGTGCGGCCTCTGACCTGTCGCCGAGTCTACCTGGCTCCTTGGTTTTCTGAGGAGCTGAGGGGGATGAAGCGCCAGAAAAGACGCCTAGAGAGCAGTTGGAGATCTAGTTGCTCCGAATCCAACCGAACACTGGTAAGATCTCATATTAAGACTTACCTAGTGGCGATAAAAGCGGCAAAATGTAACTATTTTTCCGCTCTTATTGCATCGGCAGATAATCGCCCGGCCGCCCTGTTTAGGGTGACCCGTTCCCTCCTCCATCTGGGAGCACGGGAGGATCCCTTGCAGGGTCGTGCCGAGGATTTTGTTAAGTATCTGCACAATAAAATCACTCAGATTCGGGAACGCTTGGTCTCTGACTGGGTAGGTACAGACGGGATGATGGGTGCCGGTCTTGAGACTGCCATTTGGGAGGAGTTCGACCCTGTTGCTCCCGAGGACATGGACAGGATACTGGGGCGGCTGGCTCCAGGGGATTATCAACGCTTCCTTGAGTGAGGGTGTCTTGCCATCCGCCTTGAAAGAGGCTGTGGTGAGGCCCCTCCTCAAGAAGCCTGCTCTGGATCCGGCTGTTTTGGCTAACTATCGTCCGGTCTCCAACCTTCCCTTCTTGGCGAAGGTTGTTGAGAGTGTGGTGGCGCGACAGCTTCCTGGGTACCTGGATGAAGCTGTCTATCTGGATCCGCTCCAGTCCGGCTTCAGGCCTGGGCACAGCATGGAAACAGCATTGGTCGCATTGGTGGATGATCTCTGGAGGGCTCGGGATAGGGGTTGTTCCTCTGTCCTGGTCCTGTTAGATCTCTCAGCGGCTTTTGATACCATCGACCATGGTCTCCTGCTGTGCCGGTTGGAGGGGTTGGGAGTGGGGGGCACCGTTCTGCGGTGGTTCTCCTCCTATCTCTCCAACCGGTCGCAGTCGGTGTTGGCAGGGGGGCAGAGATCGACCCCAAGGTGCCTTGTTTGTGGGGGTGCCACAGGGGTCGGTCCTCTCGCCCCTTCTGTTCAACATTTATGTGAAGCCGCTGGGTGAGATCATCCGTGGCTTTGGAGTGGAGTTCCATCAGTATGCTGATGATACGCAGCTGTATATCTCCACCCAAGGCCATCCCAATGATGCCCTTGAAGTGATGTCCCAGTGCCTGGAGGCCGTGCAGATCTGGATGGGGAGTAACAGGCTTCGACTCAACCCTTCCAAGACCGAGTGGCTGTGGCTTCCGGCGTCCCGATATAGCCAGCTGGTGCCATCGCTGGCTATTGGGGGCAAGTTATTGGCCCCCACGGATAGGCTCGCAATTTGGGCATCCTCCTGGATGCATGGCTGTCTTTAGAAGAGCATATGACAGCCGTGGCCAGGGGGGCTTTTTATCAGGCCTGCCTGATTTGCCAGTTGCGTCCCTTTCTGGATCGGGATTCCTTACGCACAGTCACTCAAGTGCTTGTCACTTCCTGCCTGGACCATTGCAATGCTCTCTACATGGGGCTCCCCTTGAGGAGTACCCGGAGGCTCCAACTGGTGCAGAATGCGGCTGCGCGGGGGATTATGGGAGCGAGGGGTCGCTCCCATGTGACACCTCTCCTGCGTGAGCTGCATTGGCTTCCAGTGGTCTTCCGGGTGCGCTTCAAGGTGTTGGTTACCACCTTTAAAGTGCTCCATGGCATAGGACCTGGGTATTTGTGGAACCGCCTTCTGCCGCCGATAGCCTCCCACCAACCAGTACGCTCCCACAGAGAGGGACTCCTCAGGGTGCTGTCAGCCAGGCAATGTCGGCTGGCGACCCCCAGGGGGAGGGCCTTCTCTGTGGCAGCTCCCGCCCTCTGGAACGATTTGCCCCCGGAGATAAGAAGGATATCGGATCTCCGGGTCTTTCGCCGTGCCCTGAAAACTTTTCTTTTCCATCAAGCAGGACTGGCGTGAACCCCCCCCCTTTTTTTTTAGTTTTTTAGTTGTTTAGCTTTTAATCTGTCAATGAGTTTTAATTCGAATTGTTTTTATAATTGGGCCAAAGTATATAATTCTTTTAATAATTTTAAATTTTGTATTGTTATGTGTTTTAGTTTTGGCTGTGCACCGCCCTGAGTCCACTAGGAGAAGGGCGGTATACAAATTGAATAAAATAAATAAATAAAATAAATAAATAAAATTACAATTACAAAAAAAAAAAAAGCAAATTCCAATCTAATGATTAAGAAGTCTTTCTAGAAAGGAGTATACCAAATGGGGAAAAAAACCAAGAAAGCCTTGAACATACCAGAATTATTGCCAAATCCACCAATATTAGTTCATAAATACTGTATATACCTGCAGTTAAGCTGAGAATT